GATTCTGGATGCACTTGGCACATGACTCCAAACAAAGACTTGTTCGAGGAATTATGTGATCAAGATGGTGGATCTGTATTGCTGGGAAACAACAAAGCTTGCAAGATTGCAGGCGTTGGATCTGTGAGATTCAAGCTCCATGATGAGTCAATAAGATTGTTGACTGAAGTCAGGTATGTACCTGATTTGAAGAGAAATTTGATTTCTCTTGGTGAATTCGACAAGAAAGGATATGTGTTTCAAGGAGAGAAAAGTATCCTGAGAGTCATAAAAGGGTCGAAGGAAGTCTTGAGAGGCGTGAAGAAACAAGGCTTGTATACCCTTGAGGCTGAAGTTGTAAGTGGTTCGACAAATGTTGCATCCACGAAACCTTTGTCGAAGACAGAAATTTGGCACATGAGATTGGGCCATGTCAGTGAAAGGGGTCTGGTCGAATTAGGGAAACAAAATCTGCTTGGTGGAGATAAAGTCGAAAAGCTGAAGTTTTGTGAACCCTGTGTACTTGGAAAATCCTGTAGAATGAAGTTCAACAAAGGCAAACAAAGAACACATGGATCCCTTGATTACATCCATGCTGATCTTTGGGGGCCTGCAAGGTGTCCATCACATTCAGGAGCAAAGTATTTTCTATCCATAGTAGATGACTATTCCAGAAAGTTATGGGTATTCATCCAGAAGACTAAGGATGAAACTTTTGAGAATTTCAAAAGTTGGAAGACTCTTGTCGAAAATCAAACTGGCAGAAAGGTAAAAAGGTTGAGAACCGACAATGGCCTTGAGTTTTGCAATGAGGCGTTCGACAGTTTTTGTGTTGCCTCTGGTATTGCAAGGCACAGAACTACCGCAGGTACTCCACAACAAAATGGTTTGGCTGAAAGGTTTAATCGAACTATTTTGGAGAGAGTTAGATGCATGTTGACTAGTGCGGGATTAAAGAAGGTGTTTTGGGCTGAGGCTGTTTCGACAGCAGCATATCTGATAAACAGATGTCCTTCGACAGCGTTAGATATGAAGACACCTGAAGAAGTTTGGTCGGGACATCCACCAGATCTCGACAAACTAAGAGTATTTGGCTGTGTAGCCTATGCTCACATTAGGCAAGACAAGGTCGAACCTAGAGCTCTGAAATGCATGTTGATGGGATACCCTGAAGGAGTAAAAGCTTATAGGCTATGGTGCCTAGAGCCAGGTCACAGGAGGTGTATCACCAGTCGAGATGTAGTTTTCAATGAAACGGAAATGGCTTTCAAGAAAACTGATGATGCTGACGAAGAGCTGGAACAGGTAGAGATTCCTGTTGAGGTGGAGCATGTTGATGCTGAAATGCGTATCCCAGATGAAGTCGAAGAAGAAACAGAAGATTCTGATGATGTTGAGGAAACTGTTGATGACTACCTATTGTCGAGAGATAGGCAAAGAAGAGTCATAAAACCACCTCAGAGACTTGGATATGCAGATCTTGTAGCTTATGCCTTAATCTCTGCAAGTGAAGTTCTAGACGAAGAACCTAGAGATTATAAGGAAGCTATAAGGAGTCGAATGAAGACTGAATGGCTAAAGGCCATGCATGATGAGATGAAATCTCTTCATGATAATCACACTTGGGAACTAATCAAGAAACCTGTTGGGGCAAGGTTAGTCAGCTGTAAGTGGATTTTCAAAGTTAAGGAAGGAATTGAAGGAGTAATGTCGAAGAGGTACAAGGCAAGATTAGTCGCAAGGGGTTTCACTCAGAAAGAAGGTGTCGACTTCAATGATGTATTTTCCCCTGTTGTGAAGCACAGATCCATTCGAATGTTGCTTGCCATGGTGGCTCAGTTCGACCTTGAACTGGAACAAATGGATGTGAAGACTGCGTTCTTGTATGGTGACTTAGACGAAATAATCCTGATGAGGCAACCTGAAGGGTATGTCGAAAAGGGGAAAGAAGATTATGTGTGCAAACTGAAGAAATCTTTATATGGACTCAAACAATCTCCTCGACAGTGGAATAAGAGATTCGACAAGTTCATGGAACACATAGGTTTCATTAGAAGTCAGTTCGACCATTGTGTTTACTCCAGATTTCGACCTGAAAATTCATTTGTAATTTTGTTGCTTTATGTTAATGATATTCTGATAGCAAGCAACAATGTCGAAGATGTAATGAGGGTGAAGGCTGAACTCAATAAGGAGTTCGACATGAAGGATCTGGGAGCTGCATCTAGGATTCTTGGAATTGACATTCGAAGAAATAGAAAGCAGTCGAAATTATGCTTATCTCAAGAGGCATACCTACGAAAGATTCTTGACAAGTTTGGTATGTCGAATTCAAAGCCTGTTGTGACTCCAACAAACCCTCAATTCAAGCTGAGCATTGATCAATGTCCCAGTACTGATGTTGAAAGAACTTATATGAACAGCATTCCATATGCTAATATAGTTGGTTCTTTGATGTATGCTATGGTCTGTACCAGACCCGACATAGCATATGCAGTAAGTCTTGTAAGCAGGTACATGGCGAATCCTGGAAAGGCTCACTGGCAAGCGTTAAAGTGGATTCTAAGGTACATAAATGGGTCTCTGAACAGAGTCTTAATTTATGGTGGAGCCTTGGGTGAAGATAGTAAAGCAGCAGTCGAAGGCTATGTTGACTCTGATTATACAGGATGTATGGATTCCAGGAAATCTATTTCTGGATATGTTTTCACTATGTTTGGTACAGCAATTAGTTGGAAAGCAACTCTTCAGAAGGTTGTTGCCTTATCAACTACTGAAGCAGAATATATTGCCTTAACTGAAGCTGTGAAAGAAGCATTGTGGCTTGAAGGTTTTGCGAAGGAGCTGAAACTTCAAGGTCAAGGTATCACTGTTAAATGTCATAGTCAAAGTGCAATACACCTGTCGAAGAACTCAGCCTATCATGAGCGAACCAAGCACATAGATGTGAGGCTGCATTTCGTCAGAGGGGTAATCGAGCGTGGAGAAGTCCAAGTGCTGAAGGTCTCGACAGATCACAATGCTGCTGATATGATCACCAAAACATTGCCAAGTTGCAAGTTTTTCCACTGTATGCAGTTGATAAAGCTGCATGAAGAAAGCTAGTTAGTGTCTCTTGATGCTGTAGAGTTAGGTCCAAGGTGGAGATTTGTGGGATTTTGGATCGAACTCTAGTTGGTCGAAGTACTTGCTGTAGTCGAAGAAGGTTCTAGCATGTATTTGTCGAAGGATGCTTGTCGAATTAGGTTTTAGTGTTTAAACCCTAATTTGTTAAGTTAGCTTGTTTGTTAAGTTAGCTTGTATAATGGGCCTTGTGGAAAAAGCCCATTAGTTAGTATGTTAGGTTTTATTATAAATAGCATACTAGTCTCTCATCATTGCAACACACAGCAAATCCTAATTTAGGGTGAGAGGGTTATTTGTTATTCTTGTAAACTTGTAATCTTGTTTTTCTAAGAGAAAGTAAAGAATAGCAGTTATAACCAATTCATTGTGTTCTTCTTCTTCCTTGTTCGTTATTCCTCCCTATATTCTATACTTAGTTATTGGCATTGAATTCACAACAATATTTAAACTAATTATACTCATTTACAAAAATAAATAATTTAAGATTCTATGTTTTATTTAGAAATTTGTTTTATTAAATTATAAAAAAAACATATATTCCTCTTATTTACATTAGTAACATATATTAGTAAAATAATTACATCAATAATATATAAATCAAATCTAGTGGGATGCACGTGCGTTCGCACGGGTACTGGTGTGTCACGTGCATCTGTTTCTAAAATGTAATAATAATAAAAAGAAAGAAAAACAAAATTATATAATTATAAGAGTTTATTATTTTTTTAAAAGATATTTTTATCTATATTTTAACTTTAAATATAATTTTCTATATTTTTAAATATATTTTAAATTCATTTAAATATGTATTCCCGTATTTAAATATTATTTTTGTTTTGAGATTATTTATAAAAATATTTGAAACAATAAGAAATGTGTTTCCACTTACAAAAGTTCATTCCACAATAAATAATAAAGTATAGGAATGACATTAAATAATTAAAATAATTTTTAACAGAATATATTATAATAAACAATCACCATAACTTTCTCGTCAAATGTTGATGGCAATTGTAGTTTTTGTGACAACTTAGAATTTATCGAACACTTATTCTTTGAGTGTGAGAAATTCAAAAGCATTTGGCAAAAAATCCTGGTTTGACTTGTGTGCAAAACTCCCATGAGATGGACGGAGATGGAGTGGATTATCAAAGAAGCAAAAAAGAAGGGGTTGAAAAGACAAGTTCTCAATATCGCTTTGGCAGAAATTATATATGAACTTTAGAAAAGTAGAAATGATTGGATCTTTTCACATAAAAATCTTGATGGAAAAATTACCAAAAATATTATTCAAAATATTAAGATAAGATGTAATTTGTATAGAAAGTTATATATATATATATATACATATATATATATACTTCTTTGCATTAACAACTTTCATGTCGCTTATAGGGTCTTGATTACTTAATTGAATTATGTCTTCACTGAATACCAATTACCATTGCCAGTGTTATACATTTTGCAATATTGATAACTGTGTCTAAAGTTTTATATTTAATTACTGTGACCAGTTTGAGGCATACACATTCTGCCTCTCTAACCCATATGGAGAGCGAGCAGTGTAAACCCTCTCAGTTGGTCTCTTGCTCTTTTGTGCAAATATGAAACTAACTCTCTCCTTTTCTCAAGAAAGTAGTATCCCTTTGTATAATGAGCATATATTTTTAAGGAACAATGGCAGTACATAAAACTACTATATAATAATTTGAACTCATAAAGCTCTTGTCTGTAATGTAGGAGCTGCTAGTTTTAAATTTGTCTCCTTACTTACTAATGTTTTCTTGCAGGATTTTAATTTCCTAGCATAAGCCATGTCTACATCATATCTTCCGGCGGCAACAGAGTCAGAGTCAATTTATCAGGCGTTGGAGACCAGTAGCCACGACTTCTCTTCAAGTAATCGTTGCGACAACTTTGGTTGATGCAGTTGATGATACACTGCACGATTGATCACAAGCTTTTTCCATCACAAATTCATATTTGCTAAGTACATATCCTTTTCTACCATAGTTTTGACAACCACTTGGACCATAGTAAATGCTTCTCAAAGCAGTAATATTGGAAAGAAGTGCTAAAAAATAAAGACATTATAAATAATAAGGTGAATATTTTGTAACCAAAAGTGAAAACAGAAAGTTAAAAATAAAAGATATTTAGAGAGCAAAAAAGGTGAAATAATATATTGATTTTCAAATCACCATCACAACTGCATCACCATTGATGCCCCCTTAAAGAGAGTTGTACACAATAATATTGATGCAGGTTGCTGGGTAGCTAAATAAATACAACAAAAGTACTTTGACAGAAATAAATAATGTTCCAATATTGAGATGACATCTTTGGCTTCTTGAAATATTTTAGTTTTGCTCAGAATAAATACAATCCAGTTGCATGCATATATAATATAAATATAAAGAAAGAATAACAACCAAAGTACTAAACATATAAATGCTTGAATCGTGAACAGTGTGATGCTCTTTGTAACATGACCAATCTCCAATTCTTAAGCCTTTTAAGTGATCCAAATTTCTATCATTCTCAAGATTCATGTATCAGCAATATGACCATATATAATCATTAAGGTTTCAATTTGCAACCTGAGAATAACCAAACAAATGGCATAGAAAGAATATCCGTTTCGAAATAGGAAGTTAATGATCGCGATAGTGCATTTTGGTTTGAAAAACCGGGTCTTGCAGATGACTTCTGCAACTTGCTCAATAGAGATTAACTTATTGCTCTCAACTTCTCCACCTGAAACATATATAAGCAATGTAGTTAAAAGTCACAAACATAATGCAAAGAAATATATACCTACAATATATCACAGTAGGCTGAACCTAGTCATGGCATCCTTTACTCTATAATCAAAGGCACAATTGAACTCAAAGACATGCCCAAACTAATGATTGAATGAATCGATAATCCCTCAACGTTGGCCATAGGCCTACCACATGTTAATGCCCATAATTAATTAGTCATCTAATGCTTATCTCTAATTACCAAAACTCTACATATTATTATACTGCAACGCTACATCATTATTATTATTATTAATCTTACTGTTATGAACCAAGCCATAATCTAAGATCGTCTTATCCTCATCATACTTCACAAAATCATCATAGCGATTAACGCGGGAAGCTAACTCTATCCTAATTTGGGTACTAGAATTATTCTTCTTATCCTTCATTTTAATCCTTAAGAATGAAGTTCATCGCGTTAGCTATCCAACGCTTCAAACGACACCTCAAACGGAGTCCAAAAACTCAAGTTACAGCCTTTGGAAGAATCTGTCAAAAATCAGACTGCATGAGTCGATGCATACTTCTTTGAGTCGACGCATACTGGGTTGAAATCCTGCATGAGTCGACGCGTAATCCCATTGTGTCGACTCATACTGAGTCTGATACACTGCATGTATCAACGCATGATCCTATGTATCGACTCATCCTGAGTCTTAATTCCTGCATGTGTCGACGCATGGTCTTTGAGGTCGACTCATACTGATCTGTAATGAATTTGAAATTCTGGCTGCAGATACTCAATGTCACATTCAATGTTATGACACCGTATCTAACTTACTATATGACAGTAAATACAAAAACAATAAAGAACACAGTCAATTGTTTACCCAGTTCACTGTGCAACAACACCTACTCTGGGGGCTACCAAGCCAGGGAGGAAATCCACTATAAGAGATGTTAATTCAGGAATAAACCAACCAGTTTATCTCCTTCACTTAAAACCTACCAAATGCAATTTCAATCTAAGTACAACTTAAACCTGAGTTCCTACTCACTCCCCCTCAATCACAGCAGTGATACATAAAACAATTTGACTAATGATTTGATGAAGACACTCTTCAAAAAACAAACACTTGATTAAGCTTCACAGCTTTTTAATCAAGCAACACAATCACTCTTGCTTCACAGCTTTGAGTGATGCACACAACTAATCTTGACTCTGCTTCACAGCTTTAGTCAAGGAACATTCAAACACTCTTGCTTCAAAGCTTTGAGTGCTACACAACCCTTACAATTAAAAACCTATTCCAAGTCACTTATCACAATGATAATTGCTTGGAGTACAATAATCAAACCTATACAGATTACAAAATGATCTTCTGATCAAAAAGGGATTCCTTGCAAAACAGCAGCTCTGTTGAATATATAGCAGCTGCAACTTCAGTTAGGGTTTCCACAAAAACCTAGGGTTAATTCCGTTTGACCTAAAGACCAGGTCACAGGACTTTATTAACCAAGTTAGGGTTGAACTAGGTTACTCCTCAGAAAACGCAGGATTCTGTTCTGGAGAGACTGAGTTATTTTCCTGAAAAAACTCAGACTTATCCAACCTGCAAACCTGTTAGTTCAGAACAGGATGTCTTAACATCTGTTATAACATCCGAGAAAACCTGTCTACTGATTTAGCAAAATGTGATCATTTTGCAAAATGCTCAGATACACACTTATAAACATCAGTTCCTGAATGACAATATTTTTCTGCAAAGGTACCTAATGAATCAGTACAAACTAAGCTAGAATGTTATGACATCAGTCATGACATTCACACATACACTTGGGATTTACCAAAAATGCAAGCCAATACCTAAACACCTACAAACTCCCCCTTTGTCAGATTTTTGGCTAAAGACCCTAAGCAATCAGAGATAGATAGCAGCAGAAATAAGTGACAGCAGAAAAATAGAATGTCAAGTACTAATTAAGTAAGTACCAAAATATTCTCCCCCTCTTTAGCCACAAATGGGCCAAAGATACATGTTCATAAAATTATACAGTTATCCAAAAAAATAATAAGAGCAGCAGCAGAAAACAACTGAATACACTTCCAAACTCCACCAGATATCAGCACCAACCAGCAACACCACCAAACAGCAACCAACCTTCAAGCACTGTCATCAGACTCAGAGGAGCTAGTTGCTTCTACACCTTCTTCCCTTCTGTTTTCTTCAGCTTCCTCCTTTTCTAGCCTGGCAATTAGGATTTCTAGGGTCTTTTTCATAGCATCCAGCTCTTTGCAAGTCTCTTTTAAAACAGCTATGACATCTGATGTCTTGGACTGGGTCTTCACAGACGATGTTTCAGCTGATGTTATGACAATGTCTGGATCATGAGATCCCTGAAACAGTTTGTAGTGCAAGCCAAGGGCAGGAGCTCTTTTGCAGACTGTATCTCTTGCCACAAGGATATCAGGGTATTGTGCAAGGATGATTCCACAAAGGAGGGAGGGAAAGGCTATTGGTCCTTTGACAGCATAACTACCAGCATGCTTTAAAGTTTGTTCAAAGATGTACCTGCCATAGTCAAAAGCAGTCTTGGTTCCCACAGCATAAATAAATCTCCCCAATCCTGTGGAGATAGTTGATTTATGATTTGTAGGCACCCAGTTGGCTGCACCTATTTTATGCAAGATGGCAAATTTCATGCTGAGTTTACTGGCATTCAGCTTGCCTTTCAAGGGCCAGCACTTTACTTGCCTGGCTGTGATGGTTTGACAAACTTCATTGTCAGTTGCCTCCAGATCAGGACAATCCTCATTTGTTCTTCCAAGAAACTTGTTGATTTCTGATGGAGAGAACTTGACCCTTCTTCCTCTAACAAAAACACTTTCAAAGTCAGCTGACCTTCCATCAGCACAATCATTAGACAAGTTCACTACAAACTCCTTGACCAGATTTTCATAACATTTGTTGAATTTTATTACTGTCTTCATTAGTCCAGCATTCTTGATCAGGTCCATGATGCCTTTGCACTCCAAGGCATCATTGTTGAGTTCTCTCTCTAAAGCTATTCTCTTTAAGCAAACATACTTCTATCTGTTTGCATTGTCAGGATGATGAAAATAGATGTTGTCTGTTGGGACTTCAGGTACTCTAGCAATTTTGCTAGAGGGGAGCTTCCTTCTGATAGGAGTTTCTTCAGCATCAATCTCAAATTCTGATTCCTCATCAGAATCAGAAGATTCAGGTTCTTTTCTCTTCTTAGAGATCGGTTGTCTAGCAGTATGCACCTGGGCCTTCTTCCCTTTTGTCTGAATACTTTTCTCAGCCATGCCTTCATCCTTAGATTTCTTAGCAGCGGGTTTATTTTTGGACACACATTTTGCATCATTCTGATTACTCTTTCTTTTCATCAATCTCCTAGCTATGCTAGGGTTCACATTAGCAATCAGATCATTATCTGAGTAATCTTCATCCACATCAATGATAGGTGGATCAGCAGCCTTTTCTGAAGGGTTCTGAATGTTGTCTTTTTGTGTCACAACATTCTCAGTGACATCCACATTCAGACTTTCTGATTGATTTAAAGGGACAGAAATCCCCGATACAGATTGGTTTCCACTCAGTATACTAGTAACAAGCCTAGCAATAGCTTGATGAACTTGAACTGATCCTTCTCTATTTGGTACAGAAGAAGAAGGATGAGAAGAATTACCAGAGGCTGTAGCTTGAGCTCTTCCTGCATGTCTGGTTCTGAGCTTTTTGACTTTGGCTGGGTCAGTTGCCATCTCTCTGAGAGGAGTGACCTCAAGAACTTCAGATTCTATGCATGTGGTGATTGCTCTAGAGTCTTGGTCAGATGATGAAGATGATGAGGATGATGAAGTCGCCATGGTTGAAGACGATGTCTGAGACATTTTGATTGACTTTGAGTAACGGTAGCAATTTGAGAAAAATCTTTGATTGAGAGGAGGAAACAGGTTGCAAGGACGTGAGAGGTAGGAGGCAAAAGGGAGTCTTTTCAACTTCTTAAAGATTTTGAAAGAATTGTGAAAGCATATGATTAACCCACTAAAGATAGACTTAATAAAATTAATTCCTTCAACCTTTGTTTTAAGCAAAATTAATTGCTATAATTTCTCATGTTGGTAAATACCCAACCTGCCCCTCAAATTTTCAAGTTTATTTCCAACAAGATCCTTGGTAGAAGAATCAGTCAGTTGAAGCTTAGAGAAACTATGTTCCAGTTTAAATGACTTCTTCTCTACAAAGTCAATGTGCTTGTTCCAGTTATGCTGAATAGGGTTCAAGGAAATATTGATTGTATTCAGATTGTCACAACACAATGTCACAACATCTTGTGTGACATTATACTCAGTGAGCATCTGTTTTGACCAGATATTTTGAGAACAGTTTTTCCTAGCAGCAACTATTTCCGCACAGAGTTGGGAAGGCATTCTTTTGATATGAATCATAGTTCTGGTTGATTCTTGAATAATTTTCTGTTTGTCCAGTCCATTTTGATGGAGAGTTATAGGAGAGGAGACTTCAAGCCTCATTTCTTCAGGGAAACAGAATTTATTAGACTTGTTATTTCCAACATCCTTGTCAAGATAATTTATGGTTCTGACAACACATCCTTCTTCAAGTTTATTTGCCACATCACAGACATTATCAACCTGTAGTTTTGGAGTTCTTCTGACTGCTTCCATAGAAATAGCTCTTTTCATTCTTCTTAGATGAAGAGGACCAAGCTTATGCTGCCACAGTTTCATCTCTTTTTCTTCTTTGGTAATTGGACACATAGTGGAGATATCAGTGTTCTCAGGCTGCCACAAGTAGCAGTTATCTTTGGATCTGATTCCTCTCATTACAACTTCTAGTTTTTCATTAATTACTAGACATTCAGATCTTGAGAAGTTGACCTTGAATCCTAGATCACATAATTGACTGATACTAATGAGATTAGCAGTCAGCCCTTTTACCAGCAGTACTTTATTCAGACTTGGACCTCCAGGGCAGTCCAAATTACCAACTCCTTTGACTTCACCTTTAGCACCATCTCCAAAGGTCACAAAACTGGTGGTGTGAGGCATAACATTATTGAGGAGATTTTTGATTCCAGTCATGTGTCTGGAACATCCACTGTCAAAGTACCAGCCTTCCTTTGCAGACACTCTCAGGGAAGTATGGGCTATCAGGGCAGTAGCCTTTTTCTTCCAATGAGGAGTATGTGGTACCCTTTTTGGCTTAGGTTTAGCACCTGAGTTTTGATTAGGGTATCCATGTAATTTGAAGCAGAAGGGCTTTATGTGTCCATACCTCCCACAATGATGACATCTCCATCTTTGGTATTTTTTCTTCATATATTTCTGATGTTGAGAGTTGTGTTGAGACATCTGCTTTGACAATTGTTTAACATGCCTGATCTTCTTGTCTGCACCAGGTTTCTTAGCTTCCACAAATCCTAGACCAGATTTGTTTCCCACATTTTGTCCAACTTGTAGGATCTCTTCCAATTTATCTGATCCATTGGTCAACATCTTGACAGATTTTGTCAGTTGGTTCAGTTGTGAGTTCAGTAATTGAACTTCCCCTTCTAGGTGACTTATAGTTTCAAGATCTACCCTTTCTTCAGTCTCCAGCTTTATAATGAGTTTTGATTGTTTCTCATTCTGCACACAGACTTCAGCACTTCTGATACACAATTTCTTGTAGGTATCAGCCAGTTCTTCAAATGTCACTTCTTCATCACTAGTGTCACTTTCAGAAGTACAAACACTAGTTAGAGCAGTAACTAGTTTGGCAGATTCTTCTTCAGAATTACTTTCTGAATCATAGTCAGACCAAGTAACAGTCATTCCTTTCTTTTGTTTCTTAAGAAAGGTAGGACATTCAGCTCGAATATGTCCATATCCTTCACATCCATGGCATTGAATACCTCTGCCTTGGTTTCCCTTATCTTCTGACCTTGGTCTTCTGCTGGAACTGTCAATGTCAGAGGGAATGTTATGAACATTAGACCTTGACTTTGGATCCATTCTTTTGATGAGCTTGTTGAACTGTCTTCCAAGCATGGCAATAGCTTCTGAAATATTTTCTTCTTCATCCTCCTTGTTTTCAACATCAGTGTTGGATACAAGTGCTATGCTTTTGTTCTTCTTGTCACCATTATCAGTGATCCCCATCTCAAAAGTCTGAAGAGACCCAATAAGTTCATCCACTTTCAACTTGCTGATGTCCTGGGCTTCCTCTATGGCAGTTACCTTCATTGCAAATCTTTTAGGCAAGGATCTGAGAATCTTCCTTACCAGTTTTTCTTCTGACATCTTTTCTCCCAGTGCTCCTGAGGTGTTGGCAATCTCCAAGATGTTCATGTGAAACTCATGAATGGTTTCATCTTCCATCATTTTTAGATTCTCAAACTTGGTAGTCAACATCTGAAGCCTTGATATTTTTACTTTGGAAGTGCCCTCATGAGTAGTTTTGAGAGTGTCCCAAACTTCCTTGGACAGTTCATATTGATGTACTAGTCTGAAAATGTTTCTATCAATTCCATTGAACAAGGCATTTAAGGCTTTGGAATTTCCCAGGGCTAACTCATCTTCTTCTTTACTCCAATCTTCCTCAGGCTTCAGACTGATTGTCCCATCTTTCTCAGTTATGGTGGGATGGATCCATCCTTTGTCAGCAGCTCTCCAAGCCTTTTTGTCCAGAGATTTTAGGAAGGCAATCATATGGGGTTTCCAGTAGTCATAATTAGTTCCATCCAGAATGGGTGGTCTATTTCCAAAAACTCCTTCTTTGTCCATAGTGCCAGAAAGTGATATCCCTAGATCTCACCCAGTAATACAGGCAGGGTGCCTGCTCTGATGCCAATTGAAATTCTGGCTGCAGATACTCAATGTCACATTCAATGTTATGACACCGTATCTGACTTACTATATGACAGTAAATACAAAAACAATAAAGAACACAGTCAATTGTTTACCCAGTTCACTGTGCAACAACACCTACTCTGGGGGCTACCAAGCCAGGGAGGAAATCCACTATAAGAGATGTTAATTCAGGAATAAACCAACCAGTTTATCTCCTTCACTTAAAACCTACCCAATGCAATTTCAATCTAAGTACAACTTAAACCTGAGTTCCTACTCACTCCCCCTCAATCACAGCAGTGATACATAAAACAATTTGACTAATGATTTGATGAAGACACTCTTCAAAAAACAAACACTTGATTAAGCTTCACAGCTTTTTAATCAAGCAACACAATCACTCTTGCTTCACAGCTTTGAGTGATGCACACAACTAATCTTGACTCTGCTTCACAGCTTTAGTCAAGGAACATTCAAACACTCTTGCTTCAAAGCTTTGAGTGCTACACAACCCTTACAATTAAAAACCTATTCCAAGTCACTTATCACAATGATAATTGCTTGGAGTACAATAATCAAACCTATACAGATTACAAATGATCTTCTGATCAAAAAGGATTCCTTGCAAAACAGCAGCTCTGTTGAATATATAGCAGCTGCAACTTCAGTTAGGGTTTCCACAAAAACCTAGGGTTAATTCCGTTTGACCTAAAGACCAGGTCATAGGACTTTATTAACCAGGTTAGGGTTGAGCTAGGTTACTCCTCAGAAAACGCAGGATTCTGTTCTGGAGAGACTGAGTTATTTTCCTGAAAAAACTCAGACTTATCCAACCTGCAAACCTGTTAGTTCAGAACAGGATGTCTTAACATCTGTTATGACATCTGAGAAAACTTGCCTACTAATTTAGCAAAATGTGATCATTTTGCAAAATGCTCAGATACACACTTATAAACATCAGTTCCTGAATGACAATATTTTTCTGCAAAGGTACCTAATGAATCAGTACAAACTAAGCTAGAATGTTATGACATCAGTCATGACATTCACACATACACTTGGGATTTACCAAAAATGCAAGCCAATACCTAAACACCTACAGAATTTCCTGTGATTTTCCTGCCTTAGGCCCTAAAAACATCCTCTAATCATAGGTAATCATCAATTATAATAATCCTATGTTTCTACATCAATTATACAACATTAGGGCATCATTATTCATCTTTAAATCATTGATCCTCATCAAACAACAAAATATATATATATATATATATATATATATATATATATATATATATATATATATATATATATATATATATATTTCAATCATAAACAAAACAACTTTTCAAATCCAATCCCACATACTATTCATCATAAACCCAATTATAGAGTCAGAACCCCACCGTTACCTTGGATTGAATATCTCTCTATAATTTTCCGATCGAATTTTGTTTTGCCTCTTTTCCTTCTTTTCTGCAACTTTCACGTTTTCTTCCTCTCTTCCAACCCTTATTCTTCTTCCTCTTGACAAAAACCTATTTTTCCTTACTGTCACATCTAATTTCTATTATTATAACCAAACTCAATAATAATAGAATTATTTCTATTGGGCTTAATTCTCACACCCCCTTAGTACTACATACCACCATATAAAATAGGTCCAACAACTTAATCTTATATTATTCCATTAATTCCAACATTATTATTATTAATCAACTAATTAATTAATTAATAATAATCTAACAACTTATACCAACAATCCACACATCTCACAACTTCAACAAATAATCCAAAATAATTTAATTAAATAATTAATTAAATTAACGGGTGTTACATATATGACAATAAAACACATGATATTATGCAAAATAAAAATCATCATAGATTATAGATTAAATTAACGGGTGTTACATATATGACAATAAAACACATGATATTATGCAAAATAAAAATCATCATAGATATATATCTAAGATCCAAGAACCACAACAATCTTTTTGGAGAAAAAGTATAAAATGGCTTGTAAGGTTGAAGCTTCCAGTTACCCATTTACCTGGTGCAACAATAAGTTGTGCACCACCATCATTTGCATATTGACTTAGGTTAGAAATGGCTGAATTAAAAGCCTTTGTGTTAGAGGTTTTTTCATCACCAACACCACCATAATCTGTCAAAATCGCACTGTGTTTTCTGCAACTGATTGCAGAATAATCCAAATCGTTCTATTCACTACTTGTTATTCTGCATTCAACCACTGATCCCAATATCAGAATGCTCACTATCAAAATCCTTCTTAAATTTGCTGCAATTATTTATTTAGGTCAGAATGCTCACATGAATTGAAATCGGAACGGTAAAAAAAATGCAAGGAATAAAAAAAAAAAATTGGATCTATGTCCAAATGGATCGCAACTACCAAGAAAAAGTATTTCATTTTGGTTCGACCTGTAATTTTATATAAAATACCGACATCAGTATTAACAAACACTATTATAATTATAAAATGTTTTGTTTTTGGACTTACCAAATACAACCAGTGACCGCTACGTTTCTGATGGTTGACTTCAAGATCTGACCTGATTTTGATTGTTTAGATTCAGTTGAACATGGTTAGGTTCTTCTTGACTATGTAATAAGATAGAAGATGATATAAGCCACTGAGTTGTGATTGCATATTGTATTTGTACTGAGAAACAAACTGTAGTATGATATAAGCCACCTTAACAGAATCTTCAATGAGCCAATTTCTCTTTTGCTATAAAATCAAATAGTTAAGTAGTATGATCCATGATTCATTTAGTCGTTTTCCATCACATTTTCAACAGGATTTACCAACACAAACTGCAGTAGCAAATTATAACATGTTAGAAAGTGAATAATCGAAGTTTTCTTATGCCGTCTGAAATCAATGTTAATTAGTGTTTGTACCTGAAGTGATCTCTTTTCCAGCATCTTTCTAAGTTCACCTAAACTTTCAAGTCCACTTGTGTCTATTGCTGTAACAGTTGAAATAAAAAAAATAGTTACTATCAAGTTAATATCAAGTTACTATCAGGTATAAATTTAATGGAGGTTCATACCGCCATTGTAAAATATTACACAGTAAGTATTTATTAATTAGCTAATTCTGAACGCAATAATACTAAATAATAATTGTAGAATTAAATTCAGTCTGAAATAAAAATATGTGATTCCGACTTGGTATTAATAGTGAAAACAAAGGCTTTGACTGAAAGGACAACAATTGAAACAAAGGAAGCCAGAGTCACTGTTCCAAGATAAGGACCATGTGAGAGAGCAGGACCTTAGCTTCTATTTAATAAACACCTGCATTCATTTCAAAATAAAATCTCAGTAAGAGAACCAATCTCCTAGTTATGAAAACTACACCTATTACTAACAAACATAGCATATTCACCTACTACTCCTTGTAAAGATGTCTTATACAGAATACGAATCAAGAAAAGTAGAACTCATTCTGTAATATAATTAATAATTAATAATAGCAGATAAATCTATTAATAATAGCAATGTTGCGCCCTTCTGAGATAAAGAACTTGCAACACAGTAGTATGGATTGGTCTACCAGTTTATTTTGCTCCTGCACAAATAGTAAAAGAGGGAAACATGTACTTATATAACAATATATCCAACTATATTAAAGACAAGATGAAAGTATGAAACATGTACTTGTTCTAAACTTGCAAATTCAACCTCAAATACCATATATGAAAATATAACAGGGCAATATCTGACATACAAATCTCTATCAATATTGTAAAACATAAACCTAATTTCTACAAGAACTTCAAATTTTCTTGCATTGAATATGAAATGTAGAAAACCCACTGGAAAGGCGTTCGTGGGGGTTCTGAACCGCTTCAAGAAGGAACTGGTCAACTTGATTGACGAAATCATCGAAGACGTTGGTGTTACCATCACTGGATGACGGAGGAGCATCGTCGGCGGGTTCATCTGAAGAGTGGTCCAATTTGAGGCGGGTTACGGAGTCGTTCAAATCGGCAAGGCTTCTGAATCTTCAGCCGAAGCCATGGCGAGAAATTGTGAGTGAAGAAATTGAATTTTCTAAGGTTAGAGAATCACATAGCAGGTTACATAGAAAGAAAAGAAAGAGAAGAAAGAAGAAGAAGAGAGAGGAAGCGGAAGAGAGAGGAATAGAAACTGTTTCGAATGTGGAATATGGATGTAGAAATCATAACCGCCGATGAATGGGGAAGATTGGAAAACGATAGATTTTAGGAAAACAATTAAAGAGAATTGTGAGGCCAATCGTGAAGAAAAAAATTTCAAAAACAATTTTGTTGTACTCTCAAGAAGTCACGTGTTGTGATTCTAGAACAAAGAGACGAAAAAGAATTTTTGGATAAAATGAATTTTCTTTATAGTTATATTATAGTTAACGTTTAGTCCATATTACCATTTACTAGACAGCTTCATCTATTTTTTCTTTTAATAATAAAAAAAAAATCAGTTAACTTTTAATTTTAACTCTTGGATTTTTTTTTAAATCCAAAAATATATGTTCATTTAGTAAGAGATTTAAAATGCAAAATTTATCGTCAATTACCGGATTAAAAAGCATGATATTTCCATGAAGTAGAAAAACAAAATATAATAATTTATTAAGAATTACAATTATATTTAACATTATCTTAAATTAAGCTTAAACTGATATCACAGGCCTAATTTTTTACATTAACCTTTTAATATTTTCACAAAATGAAACAGAACTACACATAGCTAGCTAGTACCCTACTCGAAACCATTTAGACAACAAGCCACCCCGATTTCAGATCCATCCATTCGTTTCAAAAAATCACGATCGGATCAGAACTTAAAACTGGAAGCGTAGTTACGATAACGGAGACCAGTAAGAAAAAGGTGGAAATGGATCAACAGATGAATTGTTTGCGGGTTCGACCCGCTTCAAAACCCGGAATCGAACCCGTTTCGGTGTGGAACAACTATCAATCAAGTCGAAGCAGACGCCTTAGATCTCGCGTTGCAGAGTCATCAACCGTCGCTGAGAATTGTCTCTTCATCAGAAAAGATGGAAGAGGAAGCGCGCTCGGCGACGGAGACACCGTGAACGCAGATCCGGCATACTTGTCGCTCTTCACCGCTTCCAGCGATGAATCCAGTGATTTACCCCTACGGAGAATCGTCACCTTTTGCCTGCTCTTTACAGTTACTGAATCATCAGCGATTGATCTCTTCAAGACCAAAGGAGTGTCCCGTTTCTTTAGTTCTGGTCGGGTAACCGGCTTCCGGTGAGACTTTGTGGTCACTGCACGGTTGTTATTGTAGTCATAGTGGTTGCTCCGGTAGGAAAACGACGCCTGAGTAGGTATGAAAAAGTATTCCTGAGGGTGTAAAACCTGAGTTCCCATGGCGCTATAGAACAAAAATAAATGGTTGGTAGAAGATGAAGAGAAATGAAGAAGTTATTTTTAATTTAATTTTTGGAATTGGGTAAGGCATGATTATATAGTGAATGATGAAGGATAAAACAAGTGGGATTTGTATCGTCAATGACGCGTCACGAAATAAAAATAGTTTAATAAATTGAGAGAAAGGGAGGTGCGTTGTTGTTGGCTGACCGGAATGGGTCTCAGATGGTTTTGATGGGGCCATGCGGGACCCACTCTTGGTTTGGACTGCTGATATTTTCATGCCGAACCGACTTGTTTTGCTTCGGGAGGTAGCACAGCACCTGTCGGTAGAGTATATTTGGTTGATGAAAGAAAGTTCAAGGAAAGAAGAGAAAACAAAAGGAAATGATGTTGGTTTACGTGGTAGTTAATTATTATTAATAAATAACTGTATTTTACTAGTATTATTCAACCTAGGGGGCTGGATTTAATCATACTAAAATGGATCTAGACTTAGCACAAGAAATGGAAAGAGAAGGCTATAATCACTACAAATTTTAAGAGGATTTAATTTACTACACCCAAAATTGAATCTGGTATCCTTAAAATGATTGTTATTATATTTTGTCCTTTTTTAAATTTATCGGAATTTAAAATAAAAAAAAATTAGAACTTTCATAAATTTTTGGAAAAAATTATTGAATTTTTTTGAAAAATTTGATAGTTCATATTCAATAAAATTTTATATTATAAAAAATTTTAAAATTTTAAATAAATTACAATACTTTTTAAAATTTCTGATAACTACAGTACTTTTCAAAAAATTTAGTAGCGTTCAATTTTTTTGAGTGACTAAGTTAAAATCTCAAATTTTATACGATAACAATAATTGAATAAAGAAATAACCTATGTGGCTACATTTACAAAATAACCACAACAAAACCCTTGCTCTGAACACTTGACCTAAAACTATATATTATCTCTACACAAAAGCAAATCAACGAAATAAAAGAAAATCCTTTTAGCTTACATGAAAGGCTCGAGTTGCTACTAAGAAAAACTAGATGAGGCAACGGGAAAAAAATGATACTGACATAGACATATCACCACATCCAAACTGGTATATTTTCTGCAGAATAGACCGACTCCAACGATTAAAAAAACTACCGGAGCAAAGTTATATATGCTCAACAAAAACAAACTGAGTGTTGTAACCTGATACCATTATGATCCTGACAACACACCCTGTTGGACTCCAATCCTAATCGTTGTTTTGGATCTACTGACTGAATTATACCGCTGCTAAGACGATCTTCGAGGTGATCTAGATGAAACCACGTGAATTTTTTTAGCAGCACTAGACGCAGGCTAAACTGACAAATAAAAGATCCAATCATCACTCACAAGCGATATAACTGACAACATGGAAACCCACAGCTCCCTTAAACTGCCACAATTGACGAAAGCTCAAAATAGACATAACCGAGGAAAAATCAAACATGACTGACTCCGCAGGAAGGGAGGCTATTGCAGGCGCTCCGAAATTGCACTTGCACAAAAAACTACCACAACAGGCAACAATAAACTAACAGATAAAAATCAACACGGTCTAAACCACCATTGCGCATTCTGAAATTGACTGAGAACCAACTAATTCTTGAAACACGATTTATGCATCAGACTAAAATCCTACTGGATCCAAGCCGCTGCGAAGGAAACATCACACACCAAATTGGACCCGCTAACTCCATTAACCAAAAAATCACATACTCCCTAGATCGCCAAATCATTATCTGAATTAAGAAATAATCGAGGAAGGATACATACGCCAATGAACACTATTGTTGAGAACTATGAAATCACCACTGCACGATGTTTGAACAAGTTTGGTTGACAACTAATCTTTGGAGTTTTGATGATAATAAGTACATTTGTATGAAGAACAATTTTGTTCTCTAACGGTTGTTCAATGTGCAGATCTATAAGAAAGCAAATATGACTTGAAAGAAGTCAAGTTGTAATGCACCAGATGTTGAGCTAATCACATGTTTAATCTAGAGATCAATAGAATATGAAGACTAACAAAGCCTAAATATTGGCGTTATCAGAAGTAAGTAAAATTCGATGAAAGAGAATATCTTTGAACTCTGAACAAGCTTCATCATTATCTATCTAAAGCCTTTGATTCAAAAGGATAACGTCTAAAAGAAGACCTTGAAGAAGCAGCGAATCAAATCTAGAATCTGAGTTATCAAGTCAATGCATCTACAAGAATCTATCCATAATACATCTGAGATAAACTTTAACTTTCTACAGCTCTGATATCTCAAAGCTCCAAAGACTAACTCTAATCAAGCTTCATCATAACCTATCAGAAGTCTCTGACTCAAGAAGTTAAGTGTGAAGAAAAAGACAGTGACTCCGACCTCTAATCAAGCTTCATCTAATCCTATCAGAAGCCTCTAAATCATGAACTCGAATGTGAAAGGACTTTGTGTGAAAATATTATTAAAGTACATCATCACGTGACTACAGTAAAACATCATATCCATTATCCTACTAATCATGATAAAAGACTACACATTATACCATTACTTTTTTCACACGTCCCATTATAGTGGTGTTATTGCCACTCTACTCTTGTTCTAGCTAATGTCTCCAACAATTATCTGTTGTATGGAAAATCAATCTCTCTTTCTCCAACAAGTCTATTTTCTTTATCTATTTAAAGAGAAATTGGAATATTGAAACAAAAAATAGTGAGAGACAATGATTTATACAATACATACACAAAAGAGAGTGAGACACATAGAGTAAGGAGTGAAGTTGCACAAACAAGAAGAAGAAGATGCATACTTAAAGAAGAACTCTTTGAGATGAATATAAGAGCAACAATAAGCACGCAAGGGAAATATATTGCAACTGTTTATACGTATCTGAGTATCAAATAATCACACTTATGCAAATAATGAAAGACAAAATTGAAAAGAACCAGTGAGGATATTCAATAAGGATATGCTTTGGTGCAAAAAGGTTGATATCAAAGATAATAATAGATGGTTGTGGTTTACACACAAGCAAGATCATACACAACCAGAAGTAGCTATGAAGAAGAGAATGAAAGACAAGGAAAAATATGAAGCATGATTATCCTTTGAAAACCTTAGCCTTAATCAAAGTGATCAGAGTAAAGAATGAAAAGTAACGATCATGAAAGAAAGATGGGAATAGCACAATCAAGAAGAAAATATGTTTTAAAGCTTACACAAAGAAAAAATCCCTTAATTGCATACATTCTTTATTTATTTCTACCGTGTAAACCTAGAATGTAAATTTGTGTATCTGCTTAACTAAGAAGCACGCTTATAAACATAAATATGTTTTAACCAAGTTTGGTTTATTTCCTCAATAGACCAGTTGATCAGAATTCTTGAGATGTCAATGTCGTTTTGTCATTGAGGTTTATTTCCTCAAGAGACCAATTGATCAGAATTCTTGAGATGTCAACGAGAGTTTGTCATTGAGGATGATTTCCTTAAGAGACCAGTTGGTCAGAATTCATGAGATTTCAATGACAGTTTG